ACGCTCGACTTTCTTCCATGATCACTCCTTTTCCCCAGCATGTTCAATGGCGTTTTGGGTCGTCGGCGCGGAGCCCAGCCCCATGCTGCCGTCTCTGGGTGATGGCCCTGTCCACGGCACCTACCTGACTGGTGGCAAACGTCGGGTCAGCCATTCTGACGGCTCCGACAACATCTACGACCATTTCCCTCACCCCAAACGTGCAAAGACGAACGATTTCGACCCCATCACAGGCAGTGTACGGCAACATGGAGAACTCATCCCCATGCAGAACCTCTCATTCTTGGTCATCCGTGAGGCACGATCACCAACGCCGGAGCCTGCACGAGGTGGCCAGACCGCCTGTTCCATGGAGCGCACGGCGTCAGGGCTCTCCATCTCATCTGACACAACCGTCTGCACGACTTCAACCTTTGATGATGCCAACCTGCTTGAGGACGATGAGGCCGCTTGGCTGGTGCAGGAGCGTCTTGCGCTCTCTCACCGCAAGGCCAAGGATTCACGCCACGAACGGATTCTCAGGAGCCTCATCCGGCCACGGTCTCGTGATGCCGAGTTCTCTATCGACAACGCCGCCTTGGAAAGCATATTCTCGGCCGCCAATGAGATTTTCTTCCACAACCGACTTGCCCGTCGTGTGAATTGGGACTGGTCTCACTCATCGAGTTCCCAATATCAAGATCACATCATAGGCACCACTGCACTCCGCCGCTCCCGTCTTCTTGGCGGCTTTGAAACCTTAATCGTTCTCTCTCACCCAATTCTCAAAAACCGCAAATACAACCGCCGACTCCTCATCTCTACTTTTTTACACGAGCTCATTCACAGCTACCTCTTCGTCTGTTGTGGTTTCAAGGCCAGGCGTTGTGGAGGCCACACGACCGGTTTCAAGCGTATCGCTGCGCTGATCGACGAGTGGGCGGGTCCAGACACCTTGCATTTAAAAGACATGGAGGCCGATCTGGACCATTTCAAGGAGGAGGAAAAATGGGACGAACTCAGTAATCAGCAGTCGTCTTTGCTCGCTCAGTCTGCGTCGTTGCCTGACGAATACGACTATCTGACGCCCTACCACCAGCACCATCACCACGCTCCCCACCATCTCACTCACGACTATCAACACCAACAAGGCCCTTGGGATTATTGGGTGGCCGATAGACAAGAACACATCCCACTGAGCCGATGCAGTACGCCGGGGTCTCCTGCCACGGCGGATGATCTGGAGGGCGAGGGCATGAGGTGGCCGGCTAGACGGGAGACATGGGCCGAAAGAACGCCACGTGCCTCCTCCCGGCACCTCCAGACACCAGGTACCGGGCACCTCTCGCGTCCGTCATCACAACAACGTCACTGGTATACAGATGACCACGAACCATTCCGTCGTCGAGATCATTCTTACGACCGGTTCGATCAACGGAGGGCCAACTCGCCGAGTCCGAGTATTGCTTCTGACGCCGTTGGCTCCCCATACGTTTGAATGGAAGATGCGTCTCCGTTCATGCAACTAACACAACGTTGTCCAGTTTTCCCTTTGTGTACATGATGGCGCCTGAGGTGTCATTCCGTTTCGGGTTCATTGGGAAGCATGGCGACGGCGCGTCTCACAACTTTCTTTCTCGCTTGGCGTTTGGTCTTTTGGTACGGGAAACTTTGCGGGACAGGGTCGAACGGCTGCTCAGTATAAAAAGGGGATCATAGTGTGGATTGTCACTTGTTCCTGCATTATGCTGCTTCACCTATTGTGCATTTTGTAATGCGGTGCTTGTCATTTTGTTTCGGGGGTCAAGAATCGTCATTCTCTCGATAAACTAAGGAGCACAGTCACGATATTAGGCATGACTGCAACACCGTGGTCAGGGAAGAAGGCAACATAGACCAATGTGTGAAGGTAACATCAATATGTTCTTGGTGTGTGAGCCAGGATGTAAGCCTACTTCTGATGGAGGTTAAACCCGATAAGCTACAGTATATTCTAACCGTCTGCGTTTATTCGTCCATCTCCCCTTAATAGGAAACCCAGAGAATCTCTTCCAAAGCCACAAGTAGACCTGTATCATGACATCAGTCCCGTCCCTTCTTCCTTGTCGTAAACGCCGTAATCCAGTCCTGGAAACGAAAACCACCTGGCTCTAACCCACAAGCCTGAGGACCTCCTACGGAGGAAGATCGACAGCCTGCTACGAATATACTAGCCTCAAACTACCTCCAAGAAGGAAATCACTCCTTGCCCAAGTTCCAAAGACGGATAAGTGGCGTTGTGCATTGAATGGCTGCTTGGAACTCAACCCGTGTCTGACGCGGAGGAGCAAGATCACGGAAGGCGCCCCGGGGGATTCGACCACCTGGTTAGTTGGCGGAGCATGCCCCTTTCGGCGGTACCGATGGGGCGGGATGCGAAGAAGACATCTTGAGGCCGTTTGAGATGTGTCGCGACAGGACCGGCGGACAGCAACACCCTCTTTGGTCCTCGTCGTACTGATCTGGGTCTCGTCTTCCGCTCTTCGATAGAAAATCCTCGTTCCAGTCCGTCATTGAATATTAAGCCTCTGAAATGTTGAACGTAAATCGTACGACGTGGCAGCCCGTGGAGCATCGACTGCCTGTCATGGAAGCCATTCTCGTCGACGAGCGAATACTAGCCAGCGAGGACTATTCAACGGAATGGCACCCATGTTCGGCCGGCGTCGATGCGTAGCCTGTGAATGAATAGCAACTAGGTACACTGACCATGGCGTGAATCGATGCCATAGTCTTCAGGTCAACTCGGACGTTAGCTTCGGTCGATCCCATATGACATGAAGAGCTAGGTTTCTCCCGATACACGAGTTGAAAGAAGTACTCACGGTCTGGAAACGTCTCCAATACGCCTCAGCTAGGGACGAAGAATGAAGATGATGAGGGCGGCAAGGCCGGCCACAACCTGAAGGGCGACAATGCCGCCCAGCACTCGTTTCAGATTATCGTGGGAACCTTCTTCGTCGTTGCGTTTCTTTCCATTTCGCGCTTCAACGTCGATGCTGTGCGCGCTGGTGCTGCTGCGCCTGTACCACGCCATGGTTTTGACGGATGTTCGGGGGAGAGATGGTGGACGGAGGTCGATTTACATGTCATTAACAAGCGTCAAGTATTACCAGACAAGAGCGGAGTGAGCGGGAACGATGATGGATTTGGCCTATACGTATATATCTTTCTTAGGGCGCGCGATCAAGGCCGATTTTAGGGGGGGACGTGTTGACGAGAAGAGGGGGGGGAAAGGGGGAGAGCGACAGCGGTAACGAAAACGAGAGCCAAGGCCGTAGATATTATTCTACCGCGACCCGGGGCGGAATCCCCCACTTTCCTCTCTCTCTCTCGGGGCCTTTTTTTGCTTCTTTCTCCTTCTGCCAGTCTTTTTCTGCTGCGCGTTGCTGTCGAGCTTTCCATGGCTTCCGGTGACTGGGACGCGCGGAGTCTGGCGTTGCGTTACATTGAAACCGAAACCGAAGATTCCGAGAGGTGAACCTCGGGTCCTACGCGCACTCCGGTGCGTCCCTATAGGCCCGAATGCATGGCCACGACTGGCCGACTTCTGTGAGGGACTGAGATCTGCAGTATCAAGTCTGCAGAAAGCAGGTACGCGGACACGTTCAGTTGCTGGTGGTCCTGGCGAGACTTTTGGGGGGTGGTTCAGAAGCGTGGCATCTTTTGGTGACAGACTGGCGTGGAGCCCAGAACCTCGAAGCCCCTCGTGCAAGGTGAGCGGCGGAACTAGACGCAACGACAAGACGCGATGACGAGAAATGAGCAAAAAGAAAAGAAAACTTACTCTCCTCTCCCTCCCTTGGGAATGTACGGTCGTGGTATCGCTCCGTCGTCAGGCCACTCAGATCCCGAGGGGCCGCCGTGTACAGGCCCCGAAAATAGAGTGCGTGGGGCCAAGGGCACCCCTGCATTGGCGACTTTGAGCACATACAAGTACACGGGAGATCTGTATCGTCCGTTCTGCCAGAGAAGGCACGGGGCAAGGAACGATACTGGCCCCCACGTTTGTTGACGGACGGGTCGCTGGGCACATGGCCCTCTTCAGCCGGGAATCGACAGGGGAAGACGGGTGCAGCTCAAAAGGAGGCCACGCCCGCTTCGTCTCAGATCATGGTATCAGCTTTGAAGGCACAAAAGGTATCATGTCGATTTACTTCATTGGGACTCATTCTCTCTCTCTCTCTCTCTCTCTCTCTCTCTCTCCTCTTGGCCTGAAGTCTCGCGGCCGATTGTGGGATGATTACTACAGTAAGCTTCAGGTCAGCGATGACCAGAGTACAACCCCAACTCGGTGGCAGCGTTGCAGCCGACCGTGGTATCAGAACAAGCACAAGTACGACCGGCGCCAGCTCCCCCGCATTGACCAGAAGAAGAAAAAAAAAAAAAAAAAAAGTCTTGGCCCCACGGCGACTCGGCCGCTGCGCCGGACTGGAAAGTTCCACGGGTGGAGGGTACCGGCTGGGTGGACGGCCGCACAAGGTCACGCAGGCACGGCAAGGAGATGAGGCACGCTTTGCAGTATCGTCGTGTGTTATTGTCCTACATGTTGTATTGTGCTACGGAAGAGTTCAGTCGGCATGGACATGCACGAATGTGTGATTCTGCGGCTGCCTGCCTCAGCCCGCCCGCTTCTCATTTCCTCCCTGCGACGGAAAATGGTGTTTCGGCCTGCGCGGCGCCGTCGTGGGCGATGGCGTCGCGTTCCGTGCCGGACCGAAAGGCCAGGACACGGCACGTTCGAGGAGGCGTCGACGGGTTCGACAGGTCTGTACTGTGCCTCACTCCGTTTGAACCGTGTCGTAGCTGTTGCGTGTGGAGCGGCTTGGGGTTTCGAGAAATTGCATGCGTGCCCCGCCCACCACAAGACCAACCAGGCGTCGACGAAGCCAGAAGCCTGGCTTCGTCGACGCCTGCAGAATGAAGTCCAGAAAAGGGAATGGGCGGCCGAGTTTGGGAGGCTCATGCGCCTCATGGCGTGTTGATGGTACGCATAAGCTGTCGAGTCGAGCCGCAAACTCGACTGTTCTTTTTATGCTTGTGTGTCGACCATGGCCCTCTCAGCCGCCTCTGACGACGACGTCGCCCTTGCAGATGCAGTAGGAGCAGCAAATCTCGGGCTGCGCCTTTCCGGAAAGGATGAGGTCGCGGTCGAACTGGCATGTGGTCAGCATGTGGCATTTCGTTGAGGGGAGGTTCTAGGTAGATACGTACGTCCGAGCAGCGAAGCGGTGATGCTTGTACGGCGATACCGAAGGAGAGCATGGCGGCCATGGCCGAGCAGATGATGTGAAGCTGCATGACGGCGTGGGGTGTAGTGACGTTCCACCTCGGTATATCGTATATGGTGAGGATTCGAGAAGTGGTCTCTTGGCTGGCTCGCTGATCGAATGGAAAGGCAAGGAGATCTAGACAGCCAAACAACACGAAAACCGGCGACGGGGACAGCAGTCACTTATGAAGGACGCAGCAACGGAAGGCTGCGACAAGGCTCCGGTACACGAGGTAACGCCATGGCACGGCAGAACCCACCCGAACGAGATGACGGCGGGCTTCCGGCAAGATGGTCTGTACGAGCAAGATGACGAGAGTGGGCAGCAGCAGACGGATCGGCTGCCATTGGCCCAGGCGAGGGTCTTCTCGAATGAAGACCGCCACACATCAGGCCGCGTTGGGACCAGTCGCAATGAGGCTTATCTTGACAGGATGTCCAGGGGGGGGGGGAGGAAACGGTGGTCATCCATGCCGGCTCGGGAGTAGCCCAGGTGTCTAGTGCGGTGGTCAGTGAAACGTCGACAGATGGCGACAGGGTCCGCTCCATAACGTGCTGGGCAAGGGGCCCCGGAATCAGCGTGGTGATGTGAAGAAGATTGAAAAAATGAAGGAAAAAAAAACGTGATGGTTGTCCTGACTGGAATGGTGGCCGAGGTGCTGGGACGCCACAGCATACCAGACGAGTCGACCGATTGCAGCGAAAACAAAACACTGGACGACCCGAACAGCCAACGACGGGAACGGCATGACGATGGGGGGCACAGCTGAGGAATAGTATTCCAGGGACGGCGCTGGTGGAGACGGCGAGTCGAAAAATAGCAACCGGCATACGTTCGTATGTCGCTCGGTTGTCTCCGAGTGGACCCACGCTCGTCGACTGATGATGACTCGGACGGAATGAACGATTGTGGCGGGCGCCTCGTTCGGCTCTGTCAGCCTCAGGCCTCAAGCCTCAGGCCTCAGCCGTCAGCCACCTCAGCCCTACTCCGTTTTGACGATGCTGCAACCAACGTGCCTTGCCAGGCTTCCTAGACACCTAGACACCTACACCTAGACACCAAGATAACTTGCCTACCCTCCGCAGATTCGCATCGAGTTGCAACGTGTTGCTCTACACTGGCGCAGTCTCCCCTGCATTTCTGCCTTCTCACGCCACTTCCCTTCACTTGCAAACCAAGCACTGTATGACCCGAAATAGCAGTGGGCGACTAGCAAGCGGGAGTAGCAAGCGGAGTAGCAAGCGGAGTAGCAAGCGGAGTAGCAAGCGGGAGTTGAAAGTGGCACGCAGCTAGCCGGCCCTCGTATTACGTGAGGCCCATCCCACACTCGAGAACTCGCGTACATGGTAGCACCCGTCCGTGTTGTGAGGGTCTAGAACCCGTCGGCGGAGAGCTTGTGGCGCGCAGGGATGGACACTGTATTGCCTGTCATGTCATGCTGCCATCTCGGCTAGCCCAAGCTTCACCTTGAGTTCTCGTCAAGAGGACGTGCCGGTCCTGTTGAGCCGCCGCGCCCAGGCTTTGTTCCCTTCACTGTCCGCGGCCGCCTGTCTTGGTGTGCTTACCATGTATGTCTCCAACCCGGAGGCTTGGGAGAGATCAATGCGAGGATTGTATGCATTGTACTTTGCACAGACTCTGTGACTGTGGGGATATCCGATGTGGAATGACGAACTCTGAATTTTGGGCCGAGTACATGGTACGACTTAGAACCCGGCCTTTGGACGAGAGTGGGGTGCAAGGTTTTCTCGTCAAGGTAGCTTTCTCTGTACGCAACTCAGTATGCAATACGATTTTTTTTTTTTGGCCAACCTACCTACGAACGTAGGGACCATGTAGTCATGGGTAACGGAGCTCGAGTGGTTCATGTGCTCGAGTGATTCAGGTGCCTGAGTGGTTCATGTGCTCGAGTGGTTCATGTGCTCGAGTGGTTCATGTGCTCGAGTGGTTCATGTGCTCGAGTGGTTCATGGGAACGGATAGCCAGAAGATCGTGGCCGTCAGACACCACGCGGAGGTCAGGCGCCGTCCAGTCATTACCATCTCAATGCATGGAGACATGATACACCTATGCTACATGTACATGATCCAATCCAGGGGATATCATTCGTGCGTCTCGGCCTCATCAAAGCTCGCCGACCCGTCGCCCACAGACGACGCAGCATCATCGTGTGCACCATCCACAATGACGGCGCCGTCCACTTGATCCGAAAAGGCCACAACCTTGGACGACGGCGACTTCTTCGGCGCCTCCAGCACGTCGCCGCTCCACGGCTTGCACGCCTTGACGAGCGCGCCGCACCGCAGACACGTCCAGCCCTCGCCCTCCTCCCTCTCCAGCCGCGTGGCGAGGCAGACGAAGCAGTAGACGCAGCCGCACGGCATCGTCTCGTACGGATTCGTAATGTCCGTCTGCGCCGAGCCGACGACGCCGCTCGACGCCGCCGCCGCCATGATGTCGTTCTCGCTGGCCAGCGTGTTCTGGTCCTGGTAGCAAATGGCGCACGTGCGCTCGGGGAGGAACGCAAGCTCGCCCCTCTTGACGCCGTCGTCGTCGCCGCCGCCGCCGCCGCCGCTCGTCTGCATGATGCCCCTTGTCTTGCGCCACGTGCGGGCGAACCACCGCCGCCAGCGGTGGATGCCCACGAGCGGCAGCACGAAGAGGAGAAACTCGGTAAAGGCGTGCCACACGAGCTGGCGGTTGAGGTACTCGAACGAGACCTCGCGGCTGACCTGGCTCGTCGGCGGCGCGAGGCGCATGCGCAGCAGGCGGTCGAGCAGCGTCCGGTAGCGGCCGTGCAGGAGGAAGACGAGAAACGACAGGCACGCGGCGCCGGCGTGGAGCGTCGACAGGCGCTCGGTGAGGCGCGCCAGGCGCTGGACGCGGGGGCTCGGCGGGTCGCGGCCGTCGTCGCGTTCGACGAGCCAGTCCTCCCACCGCGTCCAGGCGTACCTGCCCAAGACGGTGACGAGGCCGTAGGCCGTCTTCTGCAGCGGCGACGGCGGCACGAGCACGGGGCTCGCGCTGCGGGCGTCTGTGTAGCGGAGGTTCTGCAGCGCGGCGCCGTACGTGGCGTCGTGGTCCCAGACGGTGAGCTTGAACAGCACGGCCCGCAGCGCCAGCATGATCTCGGCCGACCAGTCGTCCTGGAGGTGCCCGCCGGCAAAGTACTTGAGCGCCTCGCCGACCTGGTCGCGCAGCAGGTCAACGAGCTCCTCGTCGAGCAGCTCGGCGTCCACCTGGCCCACGCGGAACGCCGGCCGCGTGCCCTCGCGCGACGAGACGGCGTCCCATGCCGTGCTGAGCCGGGCGAAGGGGAAGGGGAAGGGGAGGCGGTCGATCTGGGCGCGCGTGCGTGCGGCGCGGGACGTCGACGTGTCGGCGCGCCGGGCGGCGAGGCGGGCGGCGTTTTCGGCTTCGCGGGCCTGTTGGCGGGCGGCGAGGCGCTGTTGCGCTTGCGCAAAGTTGGAGGTCATCGATGCGGCATCTGCTGATGTATGGTGTTTTTGCTTTTCAGCCGTCGGTGAAGCTGCTGTGTGTGTGCTCGAGCACTCGCATTGTCGGCGAGGTTGCGAGGTGGTGGGATGGAGGCCGACGTAGCTCAAACCGACGTAGCTCAAGAGCCGAGGTTCGCAGCTGAGAGGGCCGACGTCAGAGTCCGTGCTGACTCATCGAGACCGTCCCAGTGATGAGCAGCACAGGTCAATTGATGGCATACGATGAGTGAAGGATGAAGAATGCTTCGAAGGATGACTTCAATGGGCTTGCATTAATTTGCAGACAGATTGCTCCAGGCCGAGAACTGTTTTGGAGCCAAGTATGTATGCATACACATGATGTATGCCCGCCACACATGACAGACTACACGCTGGACTCCATGTACAAGCTTCTGCTGCAGCGGCAAAGTTCCCTCACAATTATCACTTTCAAGAAGGGCGGAAACACGCATCAGCTGCAGCTCATGTAAACCAGGTTAGTTTTGAAAGGTTGCGTTTCCAGAGCTGCATGTTGCTGTTCGATAATGGCAAGCTTGGAGCCGGTCCAGGCATTCAACCAATGCTCCTCTTACGATGCCGGTCATCTCGAATCCGAAAGGCCTATTCTTCAGATGAGGGCCATTGGCATCCCAGATTGGCATCCCATCTGACCAAGAACAGCCAAAGTCAAAATTCACGCCGTCTTCTGCACCACGCAGTGCCCCACTACAATCGACAAGGCAAAGTTCCTGTACATCTCGTTGTCAAAATACCCCAGTCAGTATACAGGCCAAGGTATGATCGATCAAAAAATAGTCCTCTTGGCCTATGCTGTTGGTTGTACAGTCATCCACATCTAGCTTTCATTCTCCGCCCTCCCCCTTCCAAACACCTGCCTCCCCCTTCCAAACACCTGCCTCCCCCTTTACGCAGTCCACACCCTCTTGAGCGCCTCGGTGATGCCAACGTCGTTCGTCTCAAACTCGTACAGGCCCAGGCCGACGAGGGCCGTCGCGGCGTTGAGACCCCACGAGATGCCCTTTCGGGACTTGGGGAAGCGCTTGGCGGGGACGTAGTCGACAATGATGGCCTGGAAGCCCAGGTGCGAGTGGAGGATCAGGCCGGCGCAGAGGATGGCGTCGAGGGTCGGGTTCAGGGAGCCGGCGGCGAAGGGCGTCAGGGTGAGGGGCACGAGGCCGGCGGCGAGGAGGCGCTCGAAGGTCCAGTGGTAGGAGCCGTGCGAGGGGCTCGGGGCCGGCACGGGGGCAGGGTCGTTGACTGGACACGCAAAGGGGTTAGATTTGTTCCATGATTGGCGTGGGTTTTCGCAGATGATGCCTGCGACCAAGGGGTTATGGGTTGTAGCGTACCTCCTCCCAGAACAACCTCTGCGTCTCCCTGTCAGCAATTGTCTCTCTCTCTCTCAAAAAAAAAAAAAAAATCGGTCTTGAGGATAACGTACGGGGCGGCGGCGGCAGGATGTCGCGCTTGCTCGTCGTGTGGAAAGCCGTAGCTCTTGTGAAGTTGGGGATGGCGGGCTGGACAAAGGCGGAGCGGACGGCGGGAGCCTTGGCCATGCGCGCAGCCGTGGCGACCTGGCGCATCGCAGCGGGTCGCATGAAAGAAGCCATCGTGAGTCGAATTGCCGGCCGTTCAGGGTGCGCGTTGCTGGGGGGGTTCTGAGGCGGGCGGCTTTGCGTGAGGTTGAGGAAAGTGGATGATGCAGAGGACTCAGGTCGGAGCGATGGAATGATTGCCGAGGATCTGAATTGGAAGCTCTGCCATTGGCTGCGCCGTCCCGACTGTGCGAACAGGCGAATGTGATCGAGGCACGTGATCTGGCGCCTCGCTGCGACTGCTCAATGTGTCTTGGCGGCAGGTGGAGCGAAGCGCGTGTCTTATCGGACTCCAGCGCGATAAGCCCAAGGCGAGGCGAGCGTCCCTGAATTTTTGGAGCTGCAGTTCGTGATGGCCGTTGCATGTTGCCGTTGCAGTCAGTGGTGTCCTGCATCTTGATCCGTTGCGATTCAGCGTGTGACTATGCTCTTCTCAGTCGCCGACACACCCTTGACGCTCTCTTGATTTGTCTCAGCCCCCTTTTCCTGTACCTTTCCTATATTCACCATGGCGCAGGCTCTGACGGCCCGATGCCACCACAGCATCTGGCGACGATGCACCAACACACGGCTAGCCCCTCCATCGTTACCGACATGGAGACACATTCACCTCAAGACGCTGCAAAAGCGGGAGGACGCAGCGCAAGAGTGGGCAAAAAAGGCAGAGGCGATCAAGAACGGCGAGGCGCGGAACCTCTGGGAAATCTTCGAGGAGCGAGGCTTCATCAAGGATGTCGCAGGGTATGCGCCACCACCACCACCACCACCGACTCCTCCCGCCGCATGAGGGCCCTCTACTGACATGCTCCGACAGCCGGCCCGAGCTGATCAAAGAGCTGATGCGCACCAAGCGCATCGGCGCCTACGTCGGCGTCGACCCCACGGCGCCATCCCTCCACCTCGGCCACCTGCTGCCCATGATGCCCGTCTTCTGGATGTATCTCCACGGCTTCCGCGCCGTCACACTGGTGGGCGGCGCGACGGCGAGGATAGGAGACCCGACGGGCCGAAGCACGTCCCGCGCCATCATGTCCAACAGCGAAATCTCCACCAACATTACGAGGATACACTACCAGATGAAGAAGCTCTGGGACAACATTGAGCTCGAGAAGCACAAGTATGGCTACAAGAAGACCTGGTCCATGTCACGGCATCTCGTCAACAACAACACGTGGTGGCAGAGCCTGTCCATGTACGACGTCATGAAGAGGCTCGGCCGATATCTGAGGATGGGGCCGATGCTGTCGCGCGACACGTGAGTCCTGGCCGCTACAGAGCTGAGACTCTTCTTGAGATGACGTGACGCTAATCTCTACCGTCAGCGTCAAGACGAAGATGGAAAGCGGCGACGGCATGTCGGTGGCCGAGTTCATGTACCCCCTGATGCAAGGCTGGGACTTCTGGCACCTCTACGACAAGCTCGGCGTGCAGATGCAGATCGGCGGCTCCGACCAGTTCGGCAACATCGTCACCGGCATCGAGGCCGTCAAGACGATCCGCGCCTCGGAGCCCAACCCCAACCTCAAGCAGCCCGAGACGTGGAGGGAGGACCCCGTCGGCTTCACCGTGCCGCTGCTGACCGACAGCGCCGGCGTCAAGTTCGGCAAGAGCGCCGGCAACGCCGTCTGGCTCGAGACGACCATGACGAGCGCCTTCAGCCTGTACAGCTACCTCGTGCGGCGGTCCGACGACGAGGTCGAGCAGCTCCTCAAGTTCTTCACCTTCCTGCCCATCCCCGAGATCAGCCAGATCATGGCGCAGCACGTGCTCGACCCGCCCAAGCGCACCGCCCAGCACAGGCTCGCCTTGGAGGTCCTCACGCTCGTGCACGGCGCCGAGGTGGCCATCCGCGAGCAGCAGCAGCACCTCTTCATGTACAGCAAGGGCTCCAGCGGCAGCGGCAGCAGCGCCGCGAGCCCCGGCGCCGCGGCGGCGGCCGCGCACCCCAACGCGCCCGTGACGCTCAACAACGCGCCGCGCATGGACATGCAGCTGCCGCGGTCGCTCGTGACGACGCAGAGCCCGGCCAAGATCCTCTTCGCCGCGGGCCTCGCCGACTCGGCCAGCGACGCGCACCGCCTCTGCCGCCAGCAGGGCGCCTACGTCGCCGCCGCGCCGGGCAAGGACATGCGCTCGCTGACGCCCGGCAACCTCGACTGGACGCCCGTCAAGCTGTGGCGGCCCGAGGAGGTGTCGCGCTTCCTCGTCGACGACCGCGTCCTCATCCTGCGCAAGGGCAAGCACAACGTCCGCATCATCGAGGTCGTCTCGGACGACGAATGGAAGGCCTCGGGCCACACGTACCCCGGCGAGCCCGGCACCGGCAAGACGCGCATGGCCATTGCCGCGCTGCGCGAGCTCGCCGAGGCCGAGGGCAAGACGCTCTCGCAGAAGGAGCTCTTTGCCCTCGCGCAGGAGAAGCTCGCCGCCGAGGAGGAGGAGACGGTCGTCGCCAACAACCCGGACATTCGCTTCCCCAGCAAGCTCGAGAGGCAAAAGGTGCTTGGTGATCTGAAGGCCAAGGACGGCGGACGGCGCGTGTGAGGAGAGAAAGAACGTGTAAGAATATGGCTGGCGCTGTCATCCCGCCGCGAGGCGTTGTATAAAAAGAAGCAATTGGCAGAGGTATATGACCCATCTTTTTTTTTCAAGAAGAGGAAAAGAAAAAGAAAACGCCTGTAAAACACCGTAGCTCCTTGTCCCAAGCTATATAGAATCTCATGATTTCTTCCCATCCAGACACATTCCCTCCCCAGCCCTGCGTACGCCCTCGTGATCATCGGTAAAACACAGTCAGATCCCCCTGCGGCAGCGGCAACCTCTTGAGCTTGTCCATGATCTCTCCGTCCGCGAGGTCCCGCTCCGTGATGATCTGGTCAAACGAGTGACAGCCATCGGTATACTTTTGCAGCGGATCCGACGCCCCGCCGCCGCCGCCGCCACCACCACCTCCAGGCGTCGCCTGGCCCGTCGCCAGCGCGGCCAGGTACTGCTTGCTGACGACGTACTTGTGCACGCGATACAGGCAACCCTTGATGACGGCAAACTGGACGAAGCGGCGCACGTCGACGTGGCGCAGGACGTCAAAGCCAGCCTCCTGGTGGCCGCGCAGCCACTCCATGACGGAGCGCCCGACACAGAAGCTCATCATGAGGCGCACGAGCTGGAAGCGGCCGACGCGCTGGGCGCCGACGGAGACGTAGGCGGCGCACTCGTCGAGCATGCCGTCGACGTCGGCGACAAAGTCGTGGATGCCCGGGGCGCGGGGCGCGTAGCAGGAGCCGAAGAAGAAGAGGTCGAGCAGCAGGACGACGTCGTAGTAGAGGAGGTGGCGCAGGGCGAGGGTGGCGAGGTCGAGCGAGACGTCGGCCTGCCAGGCGATGCGGCGCACGTCCGAGACGCCGTCAATGTGGGCAATGACCTTTTGCAGCGTCAGGTCCCAGGTCGGGTCGACGATGGAGGCGAGCTTGGTCTTGGGCACGGGCACGTGCCAGCCGCGCACGAGCGGCGGCGGCGGGTGGTGCGGGAAGAGCTTCATGTTGATCGTGTTGGCGTCGTCGACGGGGATCATGCACTCGCCGTAGTTGTTGAGGTCCTCGCGGATGATCTCGAGGAGGCTCTCGATCGGCCGCCGGTTCTGGCTCTGGCTGTGGCCGTGGCCGGGGTGGCGCCCGTCGCGGTCGGCCTCCTGCTGGCTGAGGTACTCGTCCTGCTTCTCCATCTCGGCAAAGGTCACGGCGAGGCGGCGCACGACGCGTTCGTAGGGCGCCTGCTCGGCGTCGGCGTCGAGCACGAGGCCAAAGTTGAAGATGAACTCATTGCGCTGGTACTTGGCGTCGGGAATGAGCACGGGGAATCCCAGGACGGAGTATCGACCTTCTGGATCTTGCACCGTGAGAAATCGGTTGAAGAAGGCCTTGCGGGGGATGATGTACTCCTGGAGGACGTCAAAGTCGATGAGAGGCGGCTTGGCGGCAATGGTCGTCGGCGTCGGCACAATGCTGCCAGAAGGGGACTGGGCGACGATGATGGGGCCTTCGAGCGGCAAGAACCGCGCATAAAAGATGCCCTGAATCATGATGATGGCGGCATTGCCTCCCACAATGACAGCTGTTGGGTGAGCAGACTGTGTGGTGGGGAGATGGATGTTGGGGACGAGTCAAGATCCAGTGTCTTTCAGCAACAGGGCCGTTGTTGGGTCTGATGAAGTTGGCCAGCCCCACTTTCTGACTTTCTGTAGCCTCCTCCACATCACCACATCGCACTTGCGCTGCCAGATGGTTCCGGCTTGAGGCAGCAGCTTGAGGCAGCAGCTTGAGGCAGTAGCTTGAATCACCTCGGCAAAATCTCGTCATGTCACAAACGGCCGGCAGCACATGGAAAGACGTCATGTCACAACGGCCGGCAGCACATGCAAAGACGTCATGTCACAACGGCCGGCAGCACATGCAAAGACGCCATGTATCAAGAGTAGACTCCATTATCGTGGGCTGTGTAATGACATGCCTATCGTAATCGTGGATCATGACTCCCTTCCGACTGAGAAGGAGAGAATCGCAAAACCAAGCCCTCGACTGGCTTCGCAGGGCGCAGCACGTATGTATGTACATGAGAACCCGGGCTCCGCGCGCCTGAACCCTGTCCTAACCTGAAAACGGGCCTCCAAAAAACTACCGCGCAGAACAGTGCTCGTGTCAGCTCCCTCCCGCATTCCCCGCCTTTCCTCCTGCCCCGGTGCGCCCTCGCACTCGCCGTCCAACTTCAACTGGAGAGGAGGTGCTCGACAGCACCCTGGACGCTGCCGCCGCTCCTTCGGAGAGCAGCAACGTTCCTATCAAAATCGTAGAACCCCATGTCGTTCAGCTGGCGCAGCTGATCGGCGTACCTCTCCTCAGGGGGGCGGTTGTCGGGCGGTGCCGCGGGGCTGCCGAAGCCTCCTCCACCTCCGCCGCCGCCGAACATCTGCATCATCTGCTGCATCAACTCGGGGTTGAACTGGCCAAAGGGGTTGGCCGGCTGGCCCTGCCCAGGCTGCTCCTGGCCCGGGGTCTGGCCTTGAGGGTAGGGCGGCGGGTTGAAGAGGGCGGCAAAGGGGTTGGCCGGGGGCGGGCTTGGCGACGAAGGGTTGGCGCCGCCTGCAGCGTCACCTGTGGCACCGGGCGTGGCACCGGGCGTGGCACCACCCGGTCCGCGCGCGCCAGCAGTAGCACCCCCTGGGTTCATGGCACCGAGCATGGCCATCATGCTGTTCATGTCGCCTCCAGGGAAGCCGCCGAGACCAGGGAGGGCGAAGGGGTTGGGCGCACCGCCGGCGGCGTTGCTGCCCGGGGTGCCGCCGGAAGCAGCGGCGTTGTCGGGTGTGTTGTCGGTGGCGCCGGGGGCGGGGAAGGGACTGGCGCCCTGGCCGCCCATCATGCCGCGCTGCATCCGCATGACGTTGCGGAGCATGTCCGGGTTGGTCATCATCTGGCGCATGAAGGGGGACTGGATGATCTCGCGGGCGTTGGGCAGGTTGCGCAGCTGGGGGTTGCTCGCGATCATGTAGTCGATGAACTGGGGGTTGTCGAGGGCGGCATTCATGGTCTGCATCATGCTGGGGTCGTTGAGCATCTGAGCCATCTGGTCGTCGGAAGGGGGGGCGCCCATCTAGACAGTGGAGGTCAGCATAAAAACTGCAGCAAACGTAGGCATACCGGAAGGAAGCAGGCAGGAAAGGAGATACTCACGCCTCCGTCAGCGCCAAACATTTCACGGCTCGGCAGGTTGACGTGACCGGCGTACCGTGCGCCGGTGAGGCCGGCGAGGGGGTTGCTGCCGACGCCGGCGCCCATGTTGCTGGGGACGGCAGCGGGGGCGGCGTTGGAGGAGGCATTGGCAGGCTGGGGCGTGGGGTTGGAGGCGGCCGACTTGACCATGTGGATGGTGTTGTTGGGCTTGATCTTGTAGGTGGCGAGCGTGTCGTCGTTCTTCATGACGCGACCCGAGTAGATCAGACGCTGGCGCTCGGCAGGCACGTTCTCGTATGCCTCGCCGGCCAGTGTCGTCTTGAGCTCGATGACGGTGGCGCCTTCGGACATGGTGATGGTGTGGATCTTGTCGCCGCCCGTCTTCACCTTGAAGGTGATCTGGGCGTCGCCGGAGCCTTCCGTGTTGTCGGCCATGGCAGAGCGGGAGCGTGGAGGGTTTATCTGTATTTGTATTGTCCCTTGGGGTGATCTTTGACGTTGCTGGCTGGCACTGATTGGCGTGGACGGTTGGGGTTGGGGGTTTGGAACAAGAGGGGTCGTTCGACGGGTGACGATACTGTTGAGGTGGGGGAGGGGAGAGGAAGGGGGGGGAAGGCCACGGAGGTGCCGGCGATGAACGAGATGAAGAATGTTTGCCGCTCTGAAATGAGTTGCAGGCAAACGAGGTAAGACGACTCGGAGGAGGTGGGTAGCAAAAGCGAGAAGAAATCGCAGGAGGCAAGAGAGAGAGAGGGATCAAGTAGAGGTGAGCGACGGCGATGGCAACAGCGAAGGCAAAAGCCAAAGCGGATCTCGGAGCTGGACAACCAGCACCTTCCACCTTCCACCACCGTCCAGCAGACTGGCAGACTGGCAGACTGGCGGACTGGCGGACTGGCAGACTGGCGGACTGGCAGGCTGGAAGGGCGGAGAAGGGGGGCACGGGCGCAAGTAGAAGTCTTGATAACAGGTGACGTGAGGGCCCCAAGTCGGCCCTCCAACTTCAATGAACCAAGGGCCCCCAAGTCCCCCCGAGCCCCCCCCCGAACCCCCCAAGCCAGACCCAAACAGAACCCTCGCAGGGGCGCTAACAGGAAAACGTGGGGCCTCGCAGTGGAGTGGCACCACGGATGCACCACAAATGTACCACACAGCTCCCCTGGTGGTTCAGCTTCACGTGGGCTGGCCGGGACCTACCTGCCTAGGTACCTAAGGCACCTGGCAGACAGAGTCGGTGACGGCTGTTGTCTCATTCGTAGATGCTAAAGATGCTTGACACCTTCGCATCACCGGACTAGAGAGCATCTTGCAGACTCTGGCCAAAGCTGTGGCCCGGCGCTGCCAAACGCACAGGAGCCCCGACTCACGGCTTGTGCGACCTAGAGGTGCCCAAGACGGTTGGCTGCTGCAGGCCCCAAAGAGCACTCTCCGGGTTCCACGGCCGTCCATGTGTTTCCCTCGCTCGTTCGCTCACCTACCTGCTCCAACCCAACCCCCAGTGCCCAGGAGTTGGCTGACTGAGGCAGCTCTGCTGGCAGAACGGTTCGCCCGTCGATCAAGCCCATTGGCATGACTGTACCTTAGCTTGCTTCCCTGCCTTGCCTTACCTTAGGGTACCTACCTACGTACCCAAGCAGGTACTATGTAGGAGCTAAGGTAGGAGGAGTAGGAAGGTGACAGCCACAGACACACTGATTCGGCCACCAGCCACGGATGACAACAGTCCCCCAAAAGGCCCCCGCCGCGGGCGACCACAGGCCTGGGGTCCCCAGAACGAATCGCGCTCGACTGTGCATTGACGCTGCTCCCCGATCTGGGGTTACGCCCGGCAACTGCATCGCTGAGCCTCGGCTGCCCCTCATGAGCTCCCTAAGCTCAATCCCCCCTTGAACGGAAGCTTCATCCAACTTCATCCTCATCTCTTCTACGTATTCATGTCAACTGGTGACAACCGTCTGCATTTCAATTGCGACTTGTAAAGCCATACACTCGGCGTTCAATCCGTCTTGATCTTCTCGTACTCTTCTACCCCATCACCCCCTATACCATATACGCTACTTCCACCGCCAACATGAGGGGCATTGAAGTCAAGGAATATGTCAAGGTACGGCGCCTTCCTCACCCAGCAGAGCATGCCACTGACTGAGACATTGCAGGGCCCCGAGGAGTTGAAGGTCACTGACCTGCCCGACCCCACGCCCAAGAACGACGAGTATCTCATCCAGGTCCATGCCGCGGCGACCAACTTTTTCGATATCCTGCAGATCCAGGGCAAATACCAAAACCAGCCTCGTATGTTCCTCACTCATATGAGCTTGCTCGCTTTTCTTCGTGATGACATCTCCATTAACAAATCCCCAGCCTTCCCCTGGGTAGCAGGTGCCGAGTTCGCCGGCATCGTCCTGAAGACACCAGCCGCCGCCAAGTCGCCCAAGTTCCCCGTCGGCTCGCGCGTCTTTGGCGCAACCCAGGGCGCCTTCGCCACAAAGTGTGTGGCCAAGGAGGTCTCTCTGCTGCCCGTACCCGAGGGCTGGTCCTTCCAGGCTGCCGCCGGCCTCTTCGTCACGGCCCCGACGAGCTACGGCGCCCTCGTCGTCCGTGCCGGCATCAAGAAGGGCGACTACGTCCTCATCCACGCAGCGGCCGGCGGTGTCGGTCTTGCTGCTGTGCAGGGTAGGCCGCCAATTTATTTCTCCTTCTTTCTCCTTTTTTTTTTTGGGCCACTGTTTTTACCAGAGCTAACCAAAGACCCAGTCGCCAAGGCCTTCGGCGCAACCGTCATCGCAACAGCCTCGACCCCGCGCAAGCGCGAAATCGCCCTCTCCTACGGCGCCGACCACGCCATCGACACGGCCTCCAAAGACTGGCCCCAGGCCGTCAAGGCCCTGACGCCCGGCAAGCGCGGCGTCGACATAGTCTACGACCCCGTCGGCGCCGTCGACGCCTCGACAAAGTGCACCGCCTGGAACGGCCGCATCCTCGTCGTCGGCTTCGCCGCCGGCCAGATCGAAAAGGTCGCCATGAACAAGGTCCTGCTCAAGAACATCAGCCTCGTCGGCATCCACTGGGGCCAGTACGCCAACCACGAGCCCCAGACCGTCGGCACCGTGTGGGACGGCATCATGCGGCTCGTCAAGGACGGCAAGATGCGCGGCACCGAGTTCTCCGACGAGCGCTACGACGGCCTCGAGAGGGTGCCGGCTGCGCTGACGGCGCTCGGCAGCAGGGGGACCTGGGGCAAGGTTGTCGTCAAGGTGCCGCAGGAGGGGGGGCAGAAGAGCAAGCTGTAGATCTTGTATATATGCAGTGACGGTTGACGAATGTATCGAATGGGATGAGATGTGTGCCCGGTGCGATGAGTGTGCAAGCGCCCCGCGGTTCTGTGCGTGCGGGCCCGTCTCCTCCTTCGTTTATTTGACATCTCCTTCCAGGCAGCACGCGAAGAACGCGCCCTGCCCTTCTTCTTCCCGACAACCAGGCTGCCAGGTCAACAATCAACAACACACAGCCGCATAGCTCAATGGTAGAGCGCCTGGTTTCTCCCCCCCCTAATCCGACCACGAAGACCTAACAGCATCATTACTCTTCCCAGGAGACGGTGGTTCGATTCCATCTGTGGCTAACTTTTTTCTCGAGGGAGTGGAAAGTCTCCTGTATTATACCTTGCGTTGGCAGATTGAATAGTCCCTCATGCGAAGGCGAGTTTACGGTCAAATCGTATCATTCATGTCATCTATTCATGCCATCTCGCTCGTTCGCCCCCCTTTTCCTTAATCCAGTCCTTACCCTCAGGTCAGCAAACCCGTGGCTGGCATCTATCATGAGCTCACAAACTGCGCAAACTTCTGCACCACCTCCTTATCCACGTTGACCATCCACTCGTCCTGAAACTTCTGCTCGCCTCCCGCCCGCTGCACGAGATCCCGGACCCTCTCCATGACAAACTGCTTCGCCACGACACGGTGCAGCGGGTCGCTCTGGTAGAGCTCCCGGGCGCGGATGCTCTTGGGCGTGTCCCACTCGTCGCCCTCCTGCTCGGCCCAGACGAGGTTGTCAGATCCGTCGACAGCCCCGTCCTGCAGTTCCGCAATGGTGTCGGCCCATAAGCTCATGTAGTCCTGCAGCTTGCCGAGCGTCAGGTCCTGGACGGGGTTCGGCAGCTCCGTCAGCCGCGTGAGGCCCAGTAGCGTCAGCTTCTTGTGCTCGATGCGGTCCCAGCTCTCCATGTAGGAGAACCACTCGGTCGTCAGCCAGGGCCACACCTGCTGCTGCACGTCGCCAAAGGACGCCAGCATGTTGACGAAGAGCGTCGGGTCGGCATACGCGAGGCGCGCGAGAATGGCAAAGTAGTCGCCCTCGGTCACTGTGTTGAGCTTGGGGGACTTCTTATTGGGGCCGGTCGTCTGGTGAGCCTCCCACGCGTCGTGGAGCCTCTCGAGGATCTTCTTCAAGAAGCCCGTCTCGAGCATGTCTCGGATGACCACCGACACGCCGTTCGCGCCGCCGTACTCCTCGGCCGCCCTGATGAGGTACTCGATGCATCGCGTCGCGGCGTTGACCTGTTCCCTGCTCTTGACCTCGAGCGCCCCCGAGAGCGCGGTCAAGAAGGGACGGCGCAGTGTGTCCTCCAGCACGGCCCCAGGCGCAAGAATGATGTACGCCTCGACCGCTTCTAGTGCCATGCCGGCCGTCTCGGGGCTGTACTCCAGGATCGGGAGCAGCAAGGGGGCGATGCTGACAATCTCCGTGGAGACGGGTGGACTGCTCTGCGACAGGATAGAGTTCCAGAGGTCAAGCACATCGTCAATGAGAGAGGTATGGAGCTCAGACGTCGGGTGCGCGACTTCTGTGATAAGTGGCACCATCAAGGGGTGGAATCGCTGCGATTCGGTGCCCATCGATGTGACGAGAGCGCTGAATACGGCAACGATGGCAGTCTTCGCCATGAATTCCTGGTTGCCAACAACTTGGAATACCTCTACGATCGCGCCCACGATGGAATCAGCAAATGGTGTGACATGGGCTTCCAACCTCGTCACTACCAGTCTCATCGTCTCCAAGAGGGCGAGTCGCGTCTCATCAACGCTGACGTTTCGGATGAGCTGGGTGAGTTGTTCCAGGATATGAGGGGCATGCGGCACAAAGTTGTCGACGCTAAAGTCGAGCTCATCCACAATCATCTGTAGGTTTCGGGCAGCCGAAATCAGCACGACAATGTCGTTGCCCTCGGCGTTGGGGTCCATGAAGTGACGGAAGATGCCATAGACGATGGCGCGGCTTTCATTTGACACGTTGTGGAACACCCACTGTCCCAGGAGCATGGATATCCGCCGCCTGAGCACCTTCGCCAAAGGACCAGTTTGTTGGGCATCGGGGACCAGGGTAGATGTCAAGAAGCTGTTGAAGTCAACCTCTTGGAAGATATGTTGGGAAGCCAGGCCCATGGCCGTGTACACCGCGTCCTTGGTGGCAAAATCAGCCTGTCCGCCAGTAGCCGTTTGGATATACGACAGCAGATGAGGTACGAGTAGGGTCTTTCTTTGGTTCAAGAGGCCCAGAAACACCCTCTCCGCGGCAGGACGCACTTCCCACTCGTACGCTGAGCTGTCGAATCTCTCCTGGTGCTCCCACTCTTCCGGATCTTCGTCCCAAGCCTCGAGATCTGACTGGCGGAAGACGAAAAGATGCGTGAGAACCGTGTTTGCGATCTGCAGGCAGAAGTCGTCTTTGAACAGCTCATTCTTGATAAACTCGACCGCTTCGTGCTCTTCTTTCTTAGCTTCTGGACCCCGATAGACGAAAGTGTGTTTTGGAAGGAAAGCCAGGTCCAGACAGGCCTTGATCAGCAACAACGCACGCGTTGTTAGCTTTTCGAGCAGCGGTCCTTCGGCCTTGGACTTTGCGTCTCCGCTTGACTGCCGGATGCCTTCTGACTTGTCGAACACCTCGGCGAACTTGGCAACCAGATCCCAGTATGCGTGGATGAGCGGAAGAGAACTTGGTAGGCCTGCGAATGATGTCGGCTGCGATGTGGCCATTTCCATGTGCAACTTGGTGAACTGCAGGAGATGCTTCCCGACGAGCTCTTGATACGACTCCGGGACAGCAGACTCCTGACTGACAAAGCCGAGGAACTGACCAAAGTGGTTTTGGGATAGAGTCCAAAACTGCTGCACGGTCTTGTCCTTATGCGGAGCCTCAAAGCCAGAGATGAGAAGTCGACGGATGACTTTCAGGGTAAGTAGGGTGATGCGAATAGCAATGTCTGCTTCGGAGGCGCCATCTTGACCCTTTACACCGGTCAGGAAGTCGACCCAAACCGGTATCCTTTCTGCATAAATCTCTCCCAGCACATAGGCAATTTCGGGTGTAATAGAGTGGAGGGCGGTTTGGGCGCTACGAAGACGTGCAGTGCTCATCTCCTTGACCACTTGGAGGAGGATCTGCAGGGTGCCATGGAGATGTTGCGGCTGGCCCGTTCGAGAAGATCGCAACAGAGCAATGAGGCTTGGGAGCGCTTCGGGCCATTGTCGGGGATAGTCGACCCTGACGATTCTTGCCGCAGCAAGAGAGTTCTGGCGGGCAAGTGCCTCATCCTCCTCGTCGAGGGTGCCTGGAAAGAGCTTCTGGCGAATGAGATTCTTCTCGTCGAGACTGAGGCCACCTTTACTTGTGTGAGCAATTCGCCAGTATTTGTCGATGCCGTTCTTGAGCTGGATCACAGCAAGGAACCGAATCTGCCGGGGGAGGGACTTGTCAAGGAATATCGACTGCAGGGTAAAGGTGAGCTGTTGTTCCCACGTGCAAGAGGGTTTAGGGGGAGCTTGCTTGCAGAGAAGAGTAGTAGCCGGTTTCCTTTTCCCAAGCCTCTAGCTGCTGGCCTGACGTCTGCCTCTGGGCATGGTCTGCACCTGTCGCCGATTCGAGGGCTCTGCAGAGTTCCTGCAGAGTCAGGGGGTTTGCAGTCCCAGGCACCTCTATCGCGAAGCTCATGGTTGCTACCCGGTTCGAGAGCACGACGTGGCCTGCCTACCGCCGTGGCGCTGAGGATCTCGGTACGATTGTGGAGAATATAGGCCTTCCTGACGTTGTGGGCACGCGGATCAGAGCGCGTTCGAGTATCTGAGCTTGTCAACAATTTTGATGCATGGTTGGTCGCACGAGATACGAGGCAGCCTCGTCCACTTCTTGATGGGCGGTCAAACAATTAGGCGGGGCTGCCCTGTCTGCCGCGGGGTACTCACAGGGTTCCACTAGCAGTTTGCACAGCCTGAGCGTTCCGAGAGGCCAGGCGCGAGAGGCCAGGCGCGCGTACAGTGCCAGGCACTCTGGCACAGTACCCGCACGGGAGCGGGAGCGTCTAACCCAGGAGCCTTTCCACAGCATCTTCCATTTACATTTACAAGCGGCCTACCTTCCTATTTCCTGTGTTCCGAGCTGGTTCCATCTGGCCAAACTCGACAGACCTCTTGTTAGGGTCATATCGTCAATCAGCTCCGATGGCGCATGGAATCGATTGCTCCTCATCACAACGAGCTCTTTGAAGACTCACACCATCCTGGCGTTTTCCAACGTGACAGCATCTGGTTTCCATGAGATCTTCCAAGGTACATGGTTCCAGAAGAATGGAGACCAGCATTGGCCAACAAGACATAACCTGGGCGACCAGCGTCGTTCCGTTGGAAGCATCTCACTAACCTTCAAGCCCATCGCCATTCCGATGTCTCCCGCTTCCCTTGGACCCATCAAAGGGCCCAGAAGCGTGGTCGTCTCTGTTGGCTGTGGCGAGCGCACAGCATCCAAGCGACGTGGTTTCAAGTCGAAGCCGGCGGCTTATCTGCGCCAGAGCTCAACGTCGATCTCAGACGTTGTTCTCCTCCCAGCGTGGGCAACATCCGGAAAGCTATCATCTGGGACATGTGGCCAAGGGACCCGCCCCCATTGGTGATGGCAAACCCCCCGCGTGTTCGCTGTGGCCTCACCCCTGCAGCTGCCACCAGCACGCTCTTTGAGCTCTTTCTGTGCTGTGAGGGAGAAGCCTTGACAGCAAGACAAGACCTCAGAAGGCCGCCAAAGATTGTCCACCGATAGACGAAGCAGGACATGAGAAGCAATGAGAACCAACACAGTCAGCCATGCCTATTCTTAGTTCAGAGACTTTTCTACGTCTCACTGGCCTCCCAGAGTTCTTCTACAACTTGAGAGCTGCGACATCCGACGCGTGTAACACTGGACCTCTACACGTCTGGACAGTGCTGCGGGCAAGAGGCTCTTTGAGAAGCGCAGGGCTCATCCATGCTAAAGTCCCCCAAAGAATCGCCCATGTGCTCTGGCCATTGGTCCACACTCGAGGTCCACCTCAGACACCAGACATTGGCGCCAGACTGTATGCAGAACTCGGCGGGGTCGCAGTGCCCAGCCTTGGTGGGGTAACAGGGGAGCTTTCGGACGACCCTTGATGACGACGGGTGGGAGCTGGGAAGCTCCAGCTACCCTACGTAAGGGTCCGGTCATGGCTTTGGACATCTCCGTCCTGCTACGATCGACCGAAGCCCCTGTGCTTCAGACAGGCGGGCATTTTGCAAGAGCATGCCCTCGCGTCACGCGGCGGGTGTCTTGTCCGCATGTACCTCCAGAGTGCACCCAACAGGTATAGGAGGCAGACAATACGTGCTGGTCACGCATCTGTGTATATAGCTCACGCCTCTCACATTCCCCCTTTTTGTTTCCCTTTTTCTTTTCCTTTCATACGACCTGTCTTCCTATCTCAACTGATCAACAAGTTTGGTTTTGCTTCAACGCACCTTTTCCGTACTCACTGCAATGCGAGAGTACCATGGCTTCTCTTGGTGGTAACAACAAACTGGCGTTAGACGCCAGTCTGCAGACCATCCTCGCAGGAGTTGCATTTGCTGTCTTTGGCAGTGTCTGTATCTTCAAGGTCTTTTCCAAGTCCTCCTTGGAAAGTGACCAGCCGCCGAGCGTGCTCAAGTCCTTCCTTCTGTTCTTCTACTCCTGTTTCATCAAACCGCACAACGGCGACAAGAAAGGCACCCAACAGGATGCTCTTGAGAGCTTCTACAAGAAGCAAGCCGGCGCTTACGATGCCACAAGAAGACTTCTCCTCCAGGGACGGGAGGACATGCTGGCGCTCTCAGCTGCACAGCTCCAAGCCAAAGCGCAGGCCGAGGCGCAAGTCAAGCGTCGTGGAAACACGAAGCGAATCTGGGTTGACGTACGCCTCTCAATTTTGTCTTTCACCCACATTGCCATGCTCACGCATTTTCCAGGTTGGCGGAGGGACTGGCTGGAACATCGATGCCATGTCCGCTTATGTGAACGTGCCCGAGTTCTTCTCCAGTGTCTACCTCGTCGACTTCTCTCCATCTCTCTGTGATGTTGCGCGAAAGCGTTTCCAGAGGTTGGGTTGGGACAACGTCAAGGTTATCTGCGAAGACGCGAGAAAGTTCCGTCTGGAAGACCATGAAGATGGGATTTCAATTAACGCTACTCCTCTCCGTTCGCCTGTCCTGAGCTACTTCTCCCAGAAGCGTCCAGAGCATGGCGGCGCAGATCTTGTCACCATGTCTTACAGTCTGTCTATGATCGTAAGTTGCTCTGTATGCTTGACGTGTCGCTGATACTGACATTCATTCCAGCCCGATTATCACTCGGTCATTGACTCTTTGACTTCTCTTCTGTCCCCTAACGGTGTCCTCGGAGTTGTTGATTTCTACGTTCAGTCACATGTTGACTTTTCCTTCCGCAACTTCACTGGCGGTCTTGTGAACCGCCACGTCAGCTGGCTTTCCCGGACGTTCTGGCGTGCTTGGTTTGACATTGATCGCGTCGGACTTGAAGCTGCTCGCAGGGATTATCTCGAGTACAAGTTTGGCACCATCCTCAACATTAATGCTCGCAACAAGACTCTTGGCCGCATCCCTTATTACGTCTGGGTGGGATGCCACAAGAAGCCTTTCTCTTCTTCGGCGCTGCCTCATGAAATTATCGAGAAGATCGACGCGCTCGCAACGGAGTCACCACTGCTTTACCCCGTGGATCAGCGGAACGCCTTGACTCGCGCCATTGAGAAATCTGCGCCCGAGATTCGATCCAAGGCTTTCATGGCCGCCATAGAAAATCTCTCTGCCAATCTTCCGCTTCCATCATTCTTCTACCAGAACCACCACTGGCGCATCTACTATGACGACCAGCTCCAGAAGCACAAGCAATTCAACGACGAGTACATCTACGCGTTCACGTGGGAAGACACGAGGGTTGATGAGCGTCTTCTAAAGCTCGGTGCCGACGATGTTGTCTTAGCCATCACCAGCGCTGGAGACAATATTCTCTCCTACGCCATGCAGAGCCCAGCTCGCATCCACGCTGTGGACCTCAATCCCACCCAGAACCACCTCCTCGAGCTCAAGGTTGCCTCGTACTGCGCCCTTCCCTACGAAGACTTTTGGAGACTCTTTGGTGATGGCAAACATCCTGACTTCCGCACCTTGCTCATGACGAAGCTCTCTCCCCACTTGTCCTCTCGTGCGTTCCAGTACTGGCTTCAGAACATTCACGTTTTCACCAACAAGCGTGGCTACGGTCTTTATGATACTGGAGGCTCGCGTCATGCGATTCGCGTTTTCCGCTGGATCACTCGCATCTTCGGCGTCAGGCGTGCTGTCGCTGAGTTCCTTGACACCAAGACCCTGAACGAGCAGCGAGAGGTATGGCGCACCAAGATTCGACCTGCGCTCCTCTCGAAGCTCCTCTGCAACCTTGTCGTCTCACAGGAGTCCTTCCTGTGGTCTGCGTTGGGCGTCCCCAAAAACCAGCTCGCCATGATAGAGGCCGACCATGCTGTCAGTGATGCCGTCAAAGGCCCCTCGCCCAAGGCTAAAGACTCTCGATCCCACGCTATTTGGCACTACATGCTCGACACTCTAGATCCCGTTGCAGAACATACGCACATCGCCGTCGACAACCCTTACTACCACGTTTGCATGACCGCCAACTTCACGCAGCGCTGCCACCCAGACTACCTCTCGGAAAAGGCCCACGCGCGCCTCTCTCGCCCAGGCGCCCTCGATGGCCTCCGGATCCACACTGACGAGCTCGACGAAGTCATCTCGCGCATCACCCCCGGCACGCTGACAGTCGCCGTCGTCATGGACAGCATGGACTGGTTCGACCCAGGCGCCGCCGCGGCTGCCCAGCAGATCACCAAGCTTAACCGCGCTCTGCGCATGGGCGGCCGTGTGCTGCTGCGGTCATCGGCGCTCCACCCCTGGTACGTCAAGGCATTCGAGGCGCACGGCTTCACGTCGAAGCGAGTTGGAGCGCGCGAGGGCGGTGCTTGCATCGATCGGGTGAACATGTATGCGTCGTGCTGGATCTTGACTAAGGCCGAGAACCTGCCGCCGCCGACACCGGAGATGGACAGGATGGGAGGCGCGCAATCGGATGTGACGAGCTTCTCGCTCTGAGGCACGCCTTTTGCTGATGGATAGGTGTCTTGAAGGGATTTGCTGGATCTGTGGGGAGTAGGTGTTGAGAGGTCTCGGGAAGTGGTTTGCCGGTGAGATACGGACCTGAAACTATGTTACGATTATATGGAGAATGAGAAACAATCGATGTCTATCAAAAAGGCCCCGTGACGGAATTGTATATAATGGCTAGGTAGGTCAGTGAGATGCTGAGAAGGGTTTCTTCCATTGCTGGATACCTATCTGGTGAAATTGAATTCGGATGACCTTATGATACATGCAAGTTCCAGGCCCGTAGCCCCTCCTCACTTGCCCCTACCTACCTACCTACCTACCTAGGTAAGGTAGGTACCTTATGCTGGCTAAAGCAAGACCGACTTGGAAAAGAACCTTTTGTGGTTAACACGGCAGTAGCCTCTGAATGGGGACATGCTACATGATCGTTGAGCATTCTTGGTAGAGCCTGCCATTTGGTGAAGTCCGGATACAAGGGCAAGAGTGACTGATACAGCAAGTGGCATTGAGGCTTGGTCTTTGATGTGAACACATAGCCTTCCAAACCTGGCCACAACAACCCCTTCATCAACACCAGAATTCTTTGCCTCGTGGTCTGCCGTGACTTGGTCAGACTGCCATCACTCGTTACTTAATTACGTCTATTCCTCTTATCCAGAAATATCTTTCACTACTCGCTCCCACCATGTCGAGCGACGAGCTAGAGAAAATATCCCAGCCCGAGTACTTCCAGCGCCTCAAACAGCTTCAAGGCATGGGGTTCGGCAACGACGCCGCCGCCGATGCTCTCCATGAAGCCAACTTCGACGTGGAGCTGGCTGTCCAGTATCTGACCGACGTATGCCCCCCCCTCCCCTGGCATGCAGCGTTGGTCACCAGACTGATTGGGACTTCAGGGCAACCCGTTTCGCATGGATCTCGACAAGGGAACGGCGGCTGCTGATTTTCTTGCTGAACCGCCTTTCTTGAGCCTTGAGGCAGTGCTCGATGGTATGCTGGGTGAGTTTCTGGCAAAATCATTGTTTGCTGCTGTGGCATCGCCACGGGCTCGGTATTGGACTTGTGCTGATATCGAGAAGAACAGGGGCCCCCTTGGAGAAGCACGAGTCCTACATCCATGCCGGGGCCTCTGTCACTGCCCCGACAAGATGCAAATGTCCAGGAACTGGTCGAGAGAGGGAGAACGACGACGAAGACGTCATCCGCCAAATCAGTTCGTTGGATCACTTCTGCCGATCGAACGACAGACTCAGCAGAAGACGTCGACGAAGATTGGGGCCTGTTGAGTGATGGATCAACCTGCCACTCTTTCACAGCGCTGGATGATTATGGTGGCCAGCTACCGCCACTTCGACCATCCCCCACCACTAGATGCAATCCCAGGGCACCCACGAGAAAAAGCTCCGTACAAGCTTGGCTGTCAGCCTTGCAAGAAGAGGACAAGTGGGCTGCTGGACCGTCCTCCAAGAAGCCACAGAAGAAAATGCCGCCGCCCGAAATCCCCAAGTCTTCGCCTCCAAAGCCCAAACCTGAACAACTTCGAGACTTGCGCGTCGGCATCATTGGAGCGGGTTTCACCGGACTCCTGCTCGCCCATGGCCTGCGCCGGCACGGGGGCATCGAGGTTGACATTTAGGACGAGCGACCTCCCCCTGAGGAATGGCAGCGCTCGGTGGTTCACGACTGGTCCGTGTCAGTGCCCGACCGTAAAGCGCTCCTCTCGAATATCGAGAGATTGCTTCCTTTGAACATTTACCATGCAGTCATGGAGGCCTGCAGTGTTGCGCCCACGCTTGCTGGGGTGCTGAAACACCAGCCCATCCCATGCCTTGACGCCGAGACTGGCGATACGCTTTTTCACGCTGAGGTGCCAGACATTTGTCGTTACCGTGGTTTGCGTCTGCTCAAAGCCCTGTGGGGACATTTGCCAGTGCAATGGAATACATCGCTGGTCAGTCTTCAGCCCAGCAAGGATAGCAAAGAGGTACACCTCATCTTTGAGCCTGGCCATCTCTGTCACAAGGTCGACATTGTCGTTGGTGCCGACGGAGCCGATTCCATGGTTCGTCGGTTTCTTGTCGAGAAGTTTCAGCACGTAGACCCCGAGCCGGTTCTCACTCCATACGTTGAGGAGATTGCCCTGATGTCGCGGACCAAGAGCAAGGACGGCACCGACTTGGTCCAAAAGCGTCACCCAATTCAGACTATGGCGTCGGACAAGGAGGGACTGACAACGATTGCCGTGCACCAGTGGCAAGTTGAGTCGGAGGAGAGGGCACACGAGCTGATCCAGATGAGTCGAATCTCGGTGCCGCCAGGCGATGACGAGATGGGAGACTTGGACCTTACAGGGAACGAGGCGCGCCGGTACATGGCGCAGTCGATCTGCAAGACAGCTCTGCAGGACTTGGAGCCTTGGAGGACATACGTTGAGGCGCTGCGGGAACCGCATGCTCAGGGGCGCTTTACGGTCAGGAGGGTGCGGGGCTGGAACCCGGTTGACTTTGGCAACCTCGGCGGGCTGGCCACTCTGGCGGGTGATGCAGCGCATGTCATGCTTCCCTGTAAGTTCACGTTCCTTTTGAGACGGCCAACGAGACACTGGCTGACAAGGATGCCAACAGTCGGCGGACGCGGCTTGCTCAATTCCACGGTAGATGCCAATGCTTTGTGCTGGGCCATCAAGACGGTGCCACGACCAGGCGCCACGCCCATTGCTGAACGGCTAGCCAAGCAGGAGGAGAGTCTGGACGACTACGGCGAAGGCATGCGGCAGAGAGCTGGCGTGCAGGTCCGCAAGACGTTGGAAGAGGCGGAGAAGTCGATCAACCTAGCAGCGGTTCGAGCAGTCCTGAAAGAGGATTCCAACAGGACTCCTGTCTGCATTTACCAGTGACACGGTGCTGGTTGGTGGTTCGGTTTGCGGGTGTTGATGTAGCGTTGCAAGAAGGGTTTGGATGTAAGCGTATTTCATAGCAGTATGATGCAGAGCGTAGCGAATGGCATTGATAGGAGTGTGCTTGATGTTCAGGGTGAGTATAAGGAGGAGTATGGCGATGAGATGACTCTGTAGGTACCTACCTAGGTGCCTGACTGTACTTGTAGGTACCTAAGGTGATTAGCGAGCGAGCGACGGTCACAGGCATGTGGCTGCAAACAGGCACCAGCCACCCAAATGCACCCTAGTCTTCCCCTTCGCCACAGCGTCACGTCTGGTAGATTGTGCTCCTCCCCATGCGCCTGCCGTCGATCAACGTCGCGCAACAGACCCGCTGCCGTCTCTCTCCTTGGGTGGGAGCCAACGTCGACTCTGAACCATCAACATCAATCATTCAGCCAGCATCAATCGAACGCGTCTCCATCTACGACCTACGTACAGATGGCCAGGCTCATCGCCACAACCCCATCACTTCCATCCTGAGCCGACATATACCACACCCACCTCCAACACGACCCATTCACCCGCGATCATGCCGCCCGCCCCCAGCCAAAAGGGCACCGGCAAGAAGAGCGGCGCGGGCGCCATCCGCCAGCGCAGCCGCAACACGACCCCGAGCTCCCTGCCCCCCACCTCAGGGGGAGGAGGAGGAGGAGGAGGAGGAGGCCCAGGAGGCGCTGGCGGAGGGGCGACAGGCATGGGCGCCAACCTGCCGCCCATCGAGGCCATCGACGCCGAGTACCTCGCCCTGCGCGTCGAGCAGTTCCGCAACATCACCTACGATGACCTCGTCGACCCCGGCGCCCCCGGCAGCCCCGTCCCCGACGCCAAGAGCGTCGACGGCCTCATCGCCCGCCTGACGCGCCTGCAGGAGGTCATTGACCGCCGCACCAACTTTTGCGACAAGGCCATGCGCGACCTGTCGGTCCAGAGGAAGCATCATGTCGACGAGGTTGTCGAGAAGGAGGACGTGCGGACTGAGGATGATCGCAAGAGGTCCAATAAGAAGAAGCGCAAGGCGGCGGATAGTCTGGCGCCGGGCGACACGAACCACAAGGGTATGTTTGAACTGTTTCTGAGCCTCATCGTGGCGACTTGCCTGATGGCTGTTGTTCACTGTCCCCTGCTTTCCCCATACAGTTCCTTGGCATCGGATGTCTCCTTGTAAACCCATGTCTAACCCAAATCGACCCTACAGAGCGATCCTCACCTTTGCGCGGCGACTCGACGAAACCTAGAAAACTCTCCAGAGACTCCATCAGCTCCTCGCTCTCCCCCGTCGAGCCTGGCTCGCCATCCGCCATGGACGTCGATGATAAGAAGAAGAGCAAGAAGAAGAAGGACGAAAAGGAAAAGAAGGAAGACGAGGCCGTCGAGGACGAAGAGGACGAGGAAGAATCGAGCTCCGAGGACGAGGGGGCCCCGCCGCGCCGCGATCTGCCCGCCGCACACACCTTTGGCGACGACCCCTCCACATTCCCCGACCCGACAGTATATGAGATTCGAGAAGCGAAACCGGCCACCATGTCGGAAGAGGAGCTGAAAGAGATTTACTCCGTCGCCGTATACCCCAAGCACGACCTCGCCGAGCTGGAGCTCATTGCCGGCGACCCCCCAGATAAGGACTTCAGCAACGCCAAGCCGTCGAACCAGATCAGTTTTTCCACCTTCAGCGCGTACATTGAACCATACTTTCGTCCCTTCACCGAGGAAGACCTCGGTTTTCTGCGCGAACGCGGCGACCGCGTGGCGCCCTTCCATATGCCCAAACGCGGCAAGCGACACTACACGGAGATCTGGGCCGAAGAAGACGGCGCCATGCAGGTGGACTCTCCATCGAAGCGCGAAAAGCTGGCGCCCAACGTGCCGCGCGGGACCATTGACGTTATGGACGACGAAGTCGGCGAGACGGACAAGCTGTCGGTCGGCCCGCTCCTCTCACGCCTCGTGAGCATCATGCGGCCCGAGTCGCGTCCGCCCACCGACGAGGACAAGCCCAACGTCAACGGCACGACCAACGGCGACGTGAGCATGGCCGGCAGCACCAACGGCGAGAACGGCGACCTCAGCATGAGCTTTGGCGGCGGCGGCGGCGGCGGCGGCGAGGACAACAAGCCGCCGACGATGCCACCGGCAACGTTCATGGCGGAATCCAACTCGGAGTCGTGGAAAAAGGCGACGCACCCCAAGCTCGACTACGCGCAGGTCGACGAGCGCATCAAGCAGGAGCTCAAGCACATGGGCTTCCTCCCGCACGAGGGCCCCATCGACGCCGACTACGACGGCGCCTTTGACGACGAGGTCGCCGCCCGGCTGCGCCTCCTCCAGGACCGCCTCCGCAGCCAGATGCTCATCAACGGCGCGCGCAAGGCCCGCCTCACCGAGCTCGTCAAGGAGCGCATGGCGCACCAGGAGTACCAGACCATCCTCGAGGACCTCGACTCGCAGGTCCAGGCCGCCTACCTCAAGCGCACCCGCACCATGGGCAAGAGCAAAAAGGCCAAGCGGCCCGCCGGCAACAGCGCCGCCGCCGCCGCCGCCGCCGCCGGCATGGCCCGCCCCGGCATCGGCGACGTCACCAAGATGCTCATGGAGCGCCGCGCCCGCTGGATCGGCACCATTGGCTCCGTCTTTGAGGACGAGAACCTCGGCAAGGTCCCGCGCGTCGAGAAGCCGGGCAGCTCCATCTTTAAGCCTGCCGAGATGGCGCAGCTGCTCAAGCGCGAGAAGGAGCAGTGGGATGAGGAGGTGGAGGAGGAGTAGGGAGGGAGCCCGTTGATCGAGCGCAACCTTGATGAGACTTTCCTGCTTCTTCTTCTTCTTCCGACTTGATTTCTGGGTGTGCGGGCTAATTCGGGCTGCCGGTTCTGCAGCTACGTACGTATGTTTGTGCGTACATGATGATTCTATCAAGACAAAGGGGGGACACAGCGTTGAGGGAGGACCCGGTTCTGGCAGGCGCGGCGTTGCGGATTCACAAACACACACACATGTGTCGGGGAAAGTTGGGACATGGCCCTTTGCACATCATTCCATGCCAAATTGTCTTGAGGCGTTGGCGGCTCCAGTTAGGCTAATTAGACATTCAAAAAAAAAGATTGACCCCAAAATATCCCGGCAACTTGTCACGTCGTGCTCCTTTCTGTCCTGCCCACGCTCAGTACACGTAAAACTGCTGCGTCAGCGGCAACCTCTCGGCCGGCTCGGCCTCGCAGACGACGCCGTCGGCCTCGACGACGTACTGCTCCGGGTCCACACGCATCCGCGGCATCGAGTCGTTGTAGCGCATGTCCTTCTTGCCAATGTTGCGGCAGTTACGCACGGCCTCGACGCGGCTGCGCAAGCCGTACGATGCGATGGCGCCCGACTCAATGGACGAGGCTGAGACAAAGAGGACAGACGTGTTGGGGACCAGCGGCGCGAACATGGGGCGGCCGATGATGGGTTGGATGGTTGGAATGGAAGCATTGGGGTCGCCCTACATTGCGTCAGAACAGGAACATGGCACAGGATGGGAAGATTTGGGCAAAACAGAAAGAAGAAGGCATACCATTTGCGCCCATGCGATCATCCCACTCTTAATAACGAGGCTCGGCTTGGTTCCGAACCACGCGGGATCCCAGACGACAAGATCGGCCAGCTTGCCAACCTCTACGCTGCCGATGAGGTGACTGAAGCCCTGGGCGATGGCTGGGTTGACGGTATACTTGCTGACGTATCGCTTGACGCGGAAGTTGTCTGCGTCGGTGCCCTCGTCCTCGGGCAGGGTGCCGCGCTGGTCCTTATTCTTGTGCGCCGTGTTCCAGGTGCGCAAGATGACTTCGCCGCAGCGGCCCATGGCCTGGGAATCGGAGCTCATCATGCTGATGGCGCCGAGGTCGTGGAGGACATCTTCGGCAGCAATGGTCTCGGCGCGGATGCGAGACTCGGCAAACGCGACGTCCTCGGGAATGTTCTTCGAGAGATGGTGACAGACCATGAGCATGTCGAGGTGCTCATCAAGCGTGTTGCGAGTGTAGGGGCGCGTGGGGTTGGTAGAAGAAGGCAGGACGTTGGGGTGTTCGACGACGGAGATGATGTCTGGCGCATGACCGCCGCCTGCCCCTTCGGTGTGATACGTGTGAATGGTCCGGTTCTTGAAGGCGCCAATGGTGGACTCGACGAAACCAGACTCGTTCAGCGTATCCGTGTGGATGAGACACTGCACATCGAGCTCATCACAAACCGACAGGCAGGTATCGATTGCTGCAGGTGTGGAACCCCAATCTTCGTGCAGTTTGAGTCCACAGGCGCCGGCGTTGACTTGATCGCGAAGGCCCTCTGGTGCGCTGTCGTTTCCTTTGCCGGTAATACCAATGTTCAGGGGAAGGTTATCGCATGCCTGTAGCATTTGGCGCATATAGTGCTTGCCAGGCGTGCATGTCGTTGCGCTCGTGCCAGCGCTGAGAAGGTCAATGTCAGACCTGAGAGTGTTCAGGGGCTCGGAGGGGGTTCAAACTAAAGCTTACCTCGGGCCAACTCCACCACCCAACATGGTCGTCACGCCAGATGCGATCGCTTCCGATGTCTGCTGCGGGCAGATGAAGTGAATGTGCGTATCGATACCGCCTGCTGTGATGATCTTGTTCTCTCCAGCGACGACATCTGTGCAGCTGCCGACCACCATGTTCGGCGTCACGCCGTCCATGACATCTGGGTTGCCCGCCTTGCCAATACCCACGATCATGCCGTGCTTGACGCCGATGTCAGCCTTGTAAATGCCGCTCCAGTCGACAATGAGCGCATTGGTCACAACCATATCGAGCGATTCCGAGTCTGGGCGGCCCGTAGCCTGTCCCATGCCCTCACGCAGCGTCTTGCCACCGCCAAACTTGCACTCGTCTCCATAGACTGTGAAGTCCTGTTCAACCTTGATCCAAAGATTAGTACTTCCCAGTCTCAGCCTGTCTCCCGTCGTCGGCCCAAACATGGTCGCATAAGCCACCCTGTTCATCTCAAAGGCGCTGATGTGACCCATGTCACCCACTGGTTCGGGCTGGTGCGCAAAGCCTGCCTGTTGCAGCTTTTCTACTATCTCACCGGCGCGCCAGAGTTCCACTCCGCCAGTAGCCAGTCCGTTGCCTCCACGAATGACCCGGTTGCCCCCAATCTCAACAAGTGTGACGGTCTTCATGTCACCTGGCTCAAAGCGCACCGATGTGCCAGCGGGAATGGCAAGGCGGAAGCCGTAGGCCCTCGCGCGGTCAAATTCGAGCTGCGGATTTGTCTCGATGAAGTGGTAGTGGCTTCCCACTTGTATGGGGCGGTCACCCCTGCTCGTGACGCGCAGCGTGATGTGCTTGCGGTTAGCGTTGAGGGTGACCTTGACGTCCTTGACAGCAACAAGAGCGCCAGGCTGCGCCGTCGGCTCGAACTCGGCGGGCTCCGGTAGAGGGAAATCATCGTTAGAGGGCATGCGCGGTACATAGCCATACAGGGCGCGGGCGAGATTCCCGTCATCCGTGGCGATGGGGTTATGGACGGTAACGAGGTAGGTGCCTGAGGGGAAGGTGCCTTCTACCTGGATCTCGTGAAGTGTACTGCAGACGGAAGGCTGGACGTGGCGACGCCCGAGCATGGTCGAACCGAGACCCATGAGGTCTGAGACGGTGTGGTTTCCATCACGGATGAGTTCTTGCAAGTTGCTCGTGATGAGGGCCTGGAGTCGATGTTAGTGCCAAGGCTCTTCTTGCAAACCCTCGATAAGGGCGAAAGAGGTCTCCTAGATACCGTTGCTTCAGCATGGTTGAGCTTCACGCCTCTGGCAAGCCGTTTCTGCGCCAGGAACCCCAGCTGAGAAATGACAAGCTTATCAAGCTGGGGCCGAGGATGCAGAGGTTAGCAAGAAGCACAGAGGCAAGCAGTAGTGGGGGATCGTGTGCTCACGGAGGAGCTCGCGAGCCTTGAAAGACGAGACGGACCTCTTTCGGCACGAGATGCATCTTGGGCAGAGCTGCGCGGACAAGTCGGCTGCTGATGCGGAGGTTGATCTCATGGGACTTGAAAGTTGGACGATGAAGAATGAGACGAGCCAAAAGCGCATCGCACCCGATGGCAGGAAGAAACGCCGCAACTGGTGTTAACAGCCCACAGTGCGGGGCGTGACTGCCCAGGCGAGGCGCTCGATAAGGAACCCCAAGTACCTACCACCTTTATTAAGGTACCTAAGGTACACATGGCATCCGCCGCCTGCCGATGCGGTCCACTGCCGCCGCCGGCCTTGCCTGCGCATCAACCAGGACCTACTGTACCTTGACCCAAGTGTCTTGGGACATCACCACCTTGACACTGGCGTCCACCAGAACATATGGACCAAAAGACAGCGTAAACTCCGGACACTGCCACAACACATCACGTCAATAGAAAGAAGGAGCAAGCTTGAACATATCATGTCTTCGTCATGGTCTCCTACAACCCCCGACCCATAGTGTTTACGTACGTACACGTGGAATTCCAAAGGCTTCGTAGGACGCACTTGGTCGCATGCCGACCAGCAACCATCCAACCGTCCCTCCCATCCCAACCGCCCTGCACCCCCTGGCCTGGTGCTTTTCAAGACCTGTTCCTGGGAACCCCTTGCACGCCGGCCAGCTAATAAAAAAAAAAAAAAGAGAGAGAACCAAACAGAAAGACAAGTTGCTGCGAAACGCTCTCCTCGCCTCAATGAACCCTGACAACTGGGTTCCAGCCGGAGGCAAAGCAGGAAACAGAGCAGGACCTCATCGGGAAAAGATGACGAGGCGCGGCAACGAGGTATCATCTTCCGAACCCGCAGAGTAAAGAGAAACCCATATTAACAGAAACGCAGGAAACCACATAACAGACAAAAGAAGAAGGCCTGGCGAGATCAGTTCTTAGCCTTCTTGCCTCGGGCTCTTCTTTGTCGCCGTGGGCTCGTCCTTGGTCTCTGTGTCAACGGCCTTGCTCACACGGCGCCTCTTCTTATCGGCAGGCGTGGCAGCAGCAGGCGTCGACTTGGGCTCGACGTCAGCGGCATCCGACTTGCGCTTGCGGCTGGCAGCCTTCTTCGGCGTCTTGGAGGGCGCAGGCGTCTCCTCCTCCGAGGCCTCTTCCTCAGACGCCTGGGCCACAGGGGCAGCCTGCTGGAGCTGCTGGGCGATGGCGTCTTGGTCATCGGCAACAGCCTCGCCGTCAACGTGAGGCAGAGGGATGTCGTTGTTGTCCGCGTAGACCAGAGCATCGTCGTCGTTCATGACGCGAGCCTCAAGGTTACCAGCCTTGTACGAGTGAACGCGGGCCTGGTACAGACGGAGGTTGTACTGGTAGGCGTTGTTCCAACCCTGGTAGCGTGTAAGCAAGACTGGTCAAGAGGAAGATAACATGGTATCACTTACGCTCTTCTCCTGCTGGCCCATGGCCTTCCAGCGACGCTGGCCCTCCTCCTGAACAGCACCCTTGGGGGCGTCGGCACCAAGATCGCTGGCGATGATGGGACGAGCAGTTTGCATGTACAGGAAGTAGGGAGTCAGGGGGCGCTTGGGGGCATTGGGGTCGTGGGTGCGCTTCTTGCGCTCCTTCTTCTCCTCAATGATGGGGGCGCCATAGTCAGGGCCGGCCTGCATCAGGCCGTTGATGCCAACGAGGTGCTGGGCGGCATGCTCAAGGTTGGTGATGGGGATATCAATGCCCGGGATGCCTTCATTAGCGGACTCGCCCAGAAGCAGGTTGGTCTGGCGGTAGTAGTCGACAGAGAACGACTTGATGAGCTCTAAGATGGTGAGGAGACGCTGGTGGACCTGGGGGTATGAGTTAGCACTTGGGGCAATGAATAATCCGTCAGGCTCATAGTGAGTGCGACGTGGCACGCGCTATACAGGGGAGCTCTGGTGGGAGCGTCGGGTAGTGGGCTGGCTGGGTGGGTCAAATCTCCAGCGGGAAAAAAACGCGGGGAGTCCCAATTGCCCGAATGGGACGTGACGCTGTAAACAAGACAGGGCACTCCTCCCGTGCACTAGAATAACCAGACGCGTCTTGCACTCTTCTTCTCCCCTTCTGACTTGACAAGACAGAATGAAAAGCAAGAGGGCGAGTGAAGGGAAATCCAAGCATACGGGAGGTCATGAATCCCAATGACAAATGAAACGATGTATCAGGCCAAGGTGCATTGAAAAGGACATGGACCGGTCATGCACTACAGCAAAACACAGCATAGCGTGTTGTTGTTGAGAGCGATGCAGACAGATACCAGCGGGTGTGTGGCCAGTGGTTGATGGTTGGCAGAAGGAAGTGAAAATAATCGTGACTTACCGAGTCGCGAACGCGAATGAAGCCCTCAGGGTCAATGTGGCGAGGCTGCTGGTGAACAAGACCGGGAGCGACAAGGGGAGCAGGCTGGACGGCAGGAATGGCGATGGGGAGAGGTGCAGGCGCAACGATGGGAGCAGACGCGACGGCGGACTTCTTGGCCTCCTCCATCTGCTTCTTAGTAGGACGTGCCATTGTGAGGGTGGGTGTGCCTGTCTAGTGGTAACGCGACGGTGTGGTGTGCGGGGTGCAGTGCGAGAAGCGCTGTAAGTTGACGCTGATTGAGATGGTGGTCTTAGGCGACGAAGGATCAATGTCGTGGCGGAGAGAGGGTGGTAAAAGCAGTAGTCTCGGGGCGTGTGAGTGCCTGGAAATTTGGTGGTGAAGGGGGAGAGAACTGGGACGGGGGGAGGGGCCTGACGGAAGGGCGGGGGGTTGGTTTTGTATTATCGGGCTGGCCGGCGGGGCTGCTGGGTGATTTGGGATCAGTAGCACTCTGGCTGGGCGCAGCGCCTAAAACGACCTGGAGGCGCGCGTGAAAAATTCGGCAGGTGCAGCCCACTAAGGCCATCAGGGCCACCAGGGGGGGTGAGGAGGGGGTTTAATAATTTTTGCCCACCTCACTGCCACTGGGATGCTCGTGGGGGGGTTTTGCCCCCCCCT